CTATATATGGTTATTTAATAATCAAACTTAAATAGAAACTACAATTATTTAACCATGATATTCTATTTTGGAAAATGGAAAAAGAAACTCTCATATTCGCCAAAAACTTGTAAAATAATGATCCATGGTTCTATATTTTTTTGAAAAATAATTGTATATGTTTTTTTGGAAAATAATGATCCATGGTTCTATATTTTTGAAAAATAATGATCCATGGTTTTATATTATTTTTGTTGTCACTAACGCATTTCATTTACCGATTAAGAAATATATTGCTCGTATCATCAAATAATAAAAAACACAAGTGTCTATACATTGTGGTTCTATACATGTATGTTTCCCTAAACAAGTGTTTCATCTTTTTCATAAACACAACTGTTCCTGCATCGTTGTTTTGGTAAGTTAACAAGGTCGATCAGGGTTTTAAAACCCAATAAAACAACCGAAGGCCTTTTAGTGGTGTTTTAAACAAAAGGCCTCTTGGACTAACTATGTGTAAGATAATGGTCACTAATATGCAAGACAAGAAACCCTGATAATGGTCACTAATATGCAATTTATCGGTCTAGCTGTAGTAGGTTTCAAGAAATGAAATGAAAATTGACGACCCAAAAAAAAGAGAGCCAAGAGTGAAATTTAAACCATTGTCCCTTTTACTTTGGTTTTACATACTAGACCGATAAATTCAAACGTCCAAATCCGGACCAATTCGAGATTGGACATATTTAGCTATAATAATCAAATAACAAAAATTGATTAGCGAAGTCATTTTCAATTTATATGGGGTTTAATAAATAAAGTAAGAAACAAAAATGGAATTGATCGTAGAATTCAAGGGAAATTAAGTGGAGAATTCATCTTACAATAGAGAATAACTTCTTTAATCTTCTCATCTCTTTCTTCGTCTACCATCGGACTACAACCAGAAGAATTAACCGGAGATGACTTCACCGAGTAAACCGAACTGGTCCTCCGTGACAATGTCTTAGACTTTCCACGTTGATCTCCTTCCACCGCCGCTTGGAAACACATGCACAGCCTCATAAATGGTTTCATGAATCCAAAACTTCTTCCACTTTTTTGTTGTGACATTCTTAGGTAAATCCGGACAAAGATCGAACTTGACACTCAAGAACACTATAATGTGAAGACGTAGAAGGTGTTAGAGATGTAAAATAAAATGTAGAAGATTTGTATATCTTTTTGTTCTGTTTGTTTCCTTTAGATTAGGGATAACGACTAAATATATATAAGGATACAAAGTTAATTACAATTCTGTGTTTTGTAATTTTGTTTCTATAAAAAAATTGGGTAGTTTCTGCAAATCACTGAAGTTTCGATCTTTCCAGTGATTTTTTTAAGGACTAAAAGGTGCGTTAATGATAGCTATTTCCTTATTTGAATTAGCTAATTAATGTATTTTACTGTTTTGTCAAGTTCTGAATTAATGTCACACCTAAATTTGAGGATTCAAATATTGTTACCACATATTTGGGATACAAAATCTGCGGTAATATCGTTATTAAAAACAAGAATAAGAAAATAACATTATTGAGAAATCATATTTGATAAAACGATGCAATATGATTGAGAAATAATATAATTAAGACCATCCTCTATATATTAAAAAAAAAATATTCAAA